ACGAGGTATATGCATGGGGTTATTCAATTTCAAAGGAAACAACCATTTATAAAATAATGTCATCTTACGTTCAAAGGATAATAACCCATTTACAGCTAGGTCGACAGGAATAATGAGGCAAGAGCATTATTTTCGTATGCTGACCGATATAAGGACCCATGATTATCATTTATTCGACCTCGATACCCCTTAACAGAACCAGAAAACAATTAAACTTACCATGTTAAAACTGGACTCTCCTCCAGAAAATTCCAATAGACTTCTGTCCATGGTAAATCTCAGCAGTAAAATCAGTATTTACACCAGCAGTAAAATCAGTATAAAACCACCACCAGCAGTAAAATCAGTATTTACACCAGCAGTAAAATCAGTATTTACACCAGCAGTAAAATCAGTATCTACATCAGCAGTAAAATCAGTATAAAACCACCACCAGCAGTAAAATCAGTATTTACACCAGCAGTAAAATCAGTATAAAACCACCACCAGCAGTAAAATCAGTATTTACATCAGCAGTAAAATCAGTATAAAATCACCACCAGCAGTAAAATCAGTATTTACATCAGCAGTAAAATCAGTATTTACACCAGCAATAAAATCAGTATAAAACCACCACCAGCAGTAAAATCAGTATTTACACCAGCAGTAAAATCAGTATAAAACCACCAACAGCAGTAAAATCAATATTTACACCAGCAGTAAAATCAGTATTTACACCAGCAGTAAAATCAGTATTTACATCAGCAGTAAAATCAGTATTTACACCAGCAGTAAAATCAGTATTTACACCAGCAGTAAAATCAGCATAAAACCACCACCAGCAGTAAAATCAGTATTTACACCAGCAGTAAAATCAGTATTTACACCAGCAGTAAAATCAGTATAAAACCACCACCAGCAGTAAAATCAGTATTTACACCAGTAGTAAAATCAGTATTTACACCAGCAGTAAAATCAGTATTTACACCAGCAGTAAAATCAGTATAAAACCACCACCAGCAGTAAAATCAGTATTTACACCAGTAGTAAAATCAGTATTTACATCAGCAGTAAAATCAGCATAAAACCACCACCAGCAGTAAAATCAGTATAAAACCACCACCAGCAGTAAAATCAGCATAAAACCACCACCAGCAGTAAAATCAGTATTTACATCAGCAGTAAAATCAGTATTTACACCAGCAGTAAAATCAGTATTTACACCAGCAGTAAAATCAGTATTTACACCAGCAGTAAAATCAGTATCTACATCAGCAGTAAAATCAGTATTTACATCAGCAGTAAAATCAGTATTTACACCAGCACCTGCAGTAAAATCAGCATAAAACCACCACCAGCAGTAAAATCAGTATCTACATCAGCAGTAAAATCAGCATAAAACCACCACCAGCAGTAAAATCAGTATTTACACCAGCAGTAAAATCAGTATTTACACCAGCAGTAAAATCAGTATCTACATCAGCAGTAAAATCAGCATAAAACCACCACCAGCAGTAAAATCAGTATCTACATCAGCAGTAAAATCAGTATAAAACCACCACCAGCAGTAAAATCAGTATCTACATCAGCAGTAAAATCAGTATAAAACCACCACGAGCAGTAAAATCAGTATCTACATCAGCAGTAAAATCAGTATAAAACCACCACCAGCAGTAAAATCAGTATTTACACCAGCAGTAAAATCATGACCATCTAAAATATATAAATAAATATTCACATAAGAACATGAAAATAAGCCTGATAGAAATTTTATATTGAGAATGCAGGAGACATTAGCAAGGACAAGTTCTGCAAATTATCTTTCGATAAATCGTATCGTTATTATCAAGGTGTTGGCCATGCCCCCCTCTCAGGCCTGTGAAAGGTAATGGACACTTTATGAATTCGTAGCTTAACAAAACCCGAAAATATTTGAACTTACCATGTTATAACTGGACTCTCTTCCAGAAAATTCCAATAGACTTGTGTCCATGGTAAAAGAAGAACTAAAATCTCAGCAGTAAAACCAGTATAAAACCACCACCAGTTTTAAAATCAGTATAAAACCACCACCAGTTTTAAAATCAGTATAAAACCACCACCAGTTTTAAAATCAGTATAAAACCAGCATCAGCAGTAGGATCATGACCACCTAAAATATATAACAAAATATTCATATAAGAACCTGTAAAATGGACTTTGTCGATGCAAGAGAGGGGGGGGGGGGAATAACAGGGGCCTGTTCTAAACGTGTCAATAACGACAATTTTTATCGTGATGTACGGGCACTGTACCACGAATGTCAAAGGTAATGACACCCTTCTCTTTTTTCGATATACCAATGGTCAAACAAGATCGGCATTCTTAAAAGTAAAAAGAATAGAGTTATAATATAAGAATAACATACCTTTTAAATAAAAGAATCCTCGCCCAGACCAAGCAACAAGAGGTACTGTCACGTAGGACCTCCGCTTGAAAAATGACGGTTGTTGAACCACGCAGCGAGATTTAAATCTTAATCCCTGATTTCAGCTCACTAGTCGGCTATAAAACAAAAGGATTGAGTTCGAGGGTTAACATTTTCTAGTTCTATACTGATTATAATTCAGTCTTCATTAAAACTACTCGCTAAAACTTTTCGACAGTTAACTTAAAAGAGACTTTTAAAAAAAGAGGGGGGTGGGGCTCTTATTATCTTGTGTATGTCCTGGGTTTCGTTTCCCAAATTTGTTGAAACATTGCAGAGGGTATACATGCATACATACATTTTTTTTCAAAGGGACAGCCCGGTAACAATAGGCTTATGCATTCCACTGTTAGGCTTAAATTTTCCTCAATGCATACTGAAAGGCTCTTGACTTGAAAGGCTCTTGAGGCTCTACAAGCCCATAGCCAGACTTGATTGTTCGGAGGGGGCAAGAAATATATCCGTATATCAGGAGGGGCGTATGGTTGCAGTAATGGAATTGGTCGTTTATCAGAATTATTTCATGAGGCCGATCCATTTTTACGAAAATAAAAAAAAAGGGAGGGGGCATCAAAGGGGCCGTGGCTTTGCCTGTCTTCATAACTAAGAATTAAACCTAGTTATAGCACGGCTAGACTCCTCTCAACGAAAAAATCCAAGAAACTGACTGCCAGAGATACCATGTACAATGAGAGATTCAGACAGTACAGGGCCAAAATCGCACGATTCTGATACCAACTACCGTGGGGAATTGTGCAATGAGCGGAATTAAGCCAGATCAGAAGAAATTTAGTGCCAGATTGTCATTGACACAGTACAGGTTCTCGGCTTTACTTCACCTCACTTTAAGTCTCGATAAATAGCATATGTGAACTCGTTTGAAATGTCTGAAGCACGGGTCAAATAAAAGTACAAGAGATCAATTAAAAACTGAGAATATATTTCAACAAAAAGAAAAATTAAAAAGTTCTGGATTGCAAAAGATAAAAGAGACATTAAATTGTTATTAAAGATATAAAAACACAACAAAACAATCAAGATTCAAATCTCAAATTTAAAAGGTCAAGAACGTGAATGCTTATTTGCTAAGGAATCTGCAGAAAAATCGTTTAGGATTTTTCTTGCACAAGCATCGCAATGAGAAACAACGGTTTGAAGATTTCCCCTGCTTGCCCTTCTTGCCTGCGTTTCCCCCTTTTCCCTGTTTGCCCTTTTCATTCTTCTTATTCTTGCTATTTTTGTTATTTTTCTTCTTTCTGTTTTTGTTCTTCTTTTTATTTTTTCCGTTGCCTTTTCCCCCTTTCTTTGGTGGTAAAGTAACGATACCCCCGCTTCCAGCTCCAGGTGAATCTGTTGTCGGCACTATTGTCGACTCTTCAAATGGGAGTTTAGAAACACCTGGTGACACAGATGGGAAAGCTGGTGACTCTGAAGGGAAGGCCGGTGACTCTGATGGGAATGCTGGAGACTCTGATGGGAAGGCTGGTGACTCTGAAGGGAAGGCCGGCGACTCTGATGGGAAGGCTGGAGACTCTGAAGGGAAGGCCGGCGACTCTGATGGGAAGGCTGGTGACTCTGAAGGGAAGGCTGGAGACTCTGATGGGAAGGCTGGTGACTCTGAAGGGAAGGCTGGAGACTCTGATGGGAATGCTGGAGACTCTGAAGGGAAGGCCGGCGACTCTGATGGGAAGGCTGGTGACTCTGAAGGGAAGGCTGGAGACTCTGATGGGAAGGCTGGTGACTCTGAAGGGAAGGCTGGAGACTCTGATGGGAAGGCTGGTGACTCTGAAGGGAAGGCCGGCGACTCTGATGGGAAGGCTGGTGACTCTGAAGTGAAGGCTGGTGACTCTGAAGGGAAGGCTGGTGACTCAGATGGGGAGGCCGGCGTCTCGGAAGTTGATGTCGTTGGTGACGTAGTTGGTGACGTAGTTGGTGATGTAGTTGGGGATGTAGTTTGAGATGTAGTTGGAGACGTGGTCGGTGAAGTTGTTGGTGACGTAGTTGGTGATGTAGTTTGAGATGTAGTTGGTGACGTGGTTGGTGAAGTTGTTGGTGACGTAGTTGGTGATGTAGTTTGAGATGTAGTTGGTGACGTGGTTGGTGAAGTTGTTGGTGAAGTTGTTGGTGAAGTAGTAGGTGACGTAGTTGGTGACGTAGTTGGTGACGTGGTTGGTGAAGTTGTTGGTGAAGTTGTTGGTGATGTAGTAGGTGATGTAGTAGGTGATGTAGTTGGTGACGTAGTTGGTGACGTAGTAGGTGACGTAGTTGGTGACGTAGTAGGTGACGTAGTGGGTGACGTGGTTGGTGACGTGGTCGGTGAAGTTGTTAGTGACGTAGTTTGTGACGTAGTTTCCACTAAGCTTGTAGTAGATATGGTCGCCGGTGTCAATGTTCTGCCTTCAGCACGGGCGCACGTTTCACAACAATATCTTTCCTTTTCACTTTGAGAATAACCATTGGAACACTTTGCTGCGTCGCAATTATAATTTGGATCGTCGCCTTGAAAACAGTTTTCTAAAAAAAATAAAATAAATTCGTTCAGAAAACATCAGTAAATATACATTTAAATACATATTTTTTAAAGGGATTAAAGAAGGATGGGGGGACCAGCTTCCGTGTTATGCGGAACTTAGTCTTAACCATTGTCAACTTATCTATGTTTCACTGTAGGTAGACATTAATATAATCTTACCAAATTTTCTGGGTGCTTGAGCATTGTCTGTACATATTCCACCTAAACACCATTTCTGACTCCCACAAGAAGTCTCTTCGTGTGGTACCATTGTTCCACAGTAGCCTGCTCTTTCAGGTATATAACAATACATCTGGGCACAGAACGCGGTATACGATTGTAGAGGCTGCAATATAAAAAGTTAAACGGTTTTACACAAGGTGTTCCGTGCTGCTTTACGGAAACTACTAAGGATTGCCGAATGAGAAATCTTCTGATTATCGATTTATCAGCTGCTATAGCTTTAGCTCAACTACCTGAAACACTTTTCAGTCTGATATTTCGAGGTCAAACCCTGCTGTAATCTAATATAGCAGATATTCGATATGTGAAAATAGACATTAGAAATTTCTTGCTCATTTGTTCTCCCCCGATTGGTCCAACAACTAGATAATGACATCTAAAGGGTTAATGCCATTAGTAAATAACAAAAAAACTTACCCTACAATGTGTGGAATTACCGCCAAAAGCTAAACGACATTGTTCATCAGCTGATACAGCCTGACCTGCAGCGCCCTGGGTGTATCCGAAAGTATCTGTGGCATCTTGGCTTTTGGTACAAGTTTTTCTGTAAAACAAAGAACAGTGACCTTGATAACATGCACGTACGACCTTGCCTCAACCTTCTTAATTGCATCCACCAATGCGTATATGTTTATGATTTATCTAATACCTTAACAAATGACCATCCATATTACGTCCCCTGGGAATAATGACCTTGATAGCATGCACGTACGACCTTGCCTCAACCCCTTATTAAGATCTTCACAAAAGAAATTATTTGACAAGTTATCTCGACTTACCCGGAAAGATAAGCTTTAAACGCCGTCACAGTGCAAGAGGAAAAGGTCCATGGTCTAGAGATTTTCGCTGCGTCAGTTGGGAAGCTTGAATAGGAGGCCATGATATAGTTTTCACTATCACTGCAACCTGAATAAGCTCCATCGTGGTTACTACCAAGACTGGAATAGAATGTTTTCATGTATATTAAAGCTAACGTGAAGAAATAAAAAGATGATTGATATGAAATAAAATTTCAAATTCCGATGTCACATTAAAGCTAACGTGAAATAAAAAGATGATTAATATGAAATAAAAATACATATTTCGATGCTACATTAAAGCTAACGTGAAGAAATAAAAAGATGTAAATCAAGGATATAGCGTAGATGATGAGAAATGAACGTACTTGTGACCCAGTTCGTGAGCGGCTACAGCGGAGGTCTGACCGCCGAAGAAATCTTCTATTACAGAGACAGAAATACTGGTACACGTGGCTCTGACGTAAGCTACTCCGATAACCGACTTGCTGTCACCTACAGCTATGTCATATCTGAAAGCATAAAACAATCCGCAATATTACTATTCAATATGAAAATCCGACGTAAGGTTTGTACCATTTAATGGAGAAAAAACACCGGTGGACAAAACGGGTCGTTATGAGCACTCTATTAAGCAGACAACCTGTGCTGGAAGGAAACTCAAAAATGATCGAGTGATATGCTTAACGTATTGAGCTACCGCATGTAAAGATATCCTCATACCATAGCGATTATCAGTTGCGTGTGGCTGCAATCAATAATAATGGTCATGAGTTTCGAACGCAACTGCAATTGCATGAGAGTTGCGTTCGAAACTTATTACCGCTATTTTTATTTGCTACCATACACAATTGATAATCGCTATGGTGTGAGGGTCGCTAAAGCTTACTTACTCTGTAAACAACATGTAGTGGTCACTCCGTGGTATTTTGGACTCACTGGCCTGAGTTCCAGAGAATGAGGTCAAGTCCTCTAACACCGGGATGACTTGAACCACATTTTCAGCGTTTTTATGGTCTTCCACCATGGCTGTATCGGCCTATATTTAATAGATACAGGTAGATAGATAATACAAACTCACAAACCGTCATCAGAAACACTATGTCCGCAAAACAACTTGGACCGAACATTTGGCTCCATTTTTCTCTGATAGCTCTTTTGGCATTGTCGAATGGTGTAGACCAAAAACGTGTGTAAATCAAATAAGACCAAACACGTGTAAATCAAGATCAAACACGTGTAAATCAAGACCAAACACGTGTAAATCAAGATCAATCAATCAACTTACCTGATAAATCAAAATACCAGATCCTGCAATTCTGATTCTAAACTCAGCATCAACTTCTTCAACAGTAGCATATCTTATATCAATCTGTAATAATTGTATAATATATTATTAATCAAGGTGAAATATCTTCAGGAAGGTGGCTATTGCAGTCAAGGGATAAAACGAAGTCCTAACAGTAGAAAGATGACTTCATCTCATCTTGAAGGCAAACTTACCGAATTTAACATAAAGGCGTAATACTGGCGAACGTTCTGTAACGCGTCCAGCTCAACATCTTTGGAATGCGTTAAGAAGCGTTTATAAATAGTATGGCCTGCTATCATCAGGGTCTCTACGATATGTTCATCAACCTCCCGTTTTGTTCTTCTATTTCCACTCTCTTCAACACTTCTTTTACTGATCATAGATCCCTCTTGCTTTTCTGAAATTAAGCAAAAAAATATGCAGAAGAACCATGAATAGTCACATCTGCACAATGTCAAGCAATTACACCCTGTGTCTTATACCTTGACACCATTAGCTATTTGTCTCTCTACTTCCTGAGTTCCTTTTACCTCACCATCTTGGTTTATGCTGATGGATTATTCTATATTCTACAGCCAACATATTCCCGTGGTCCATCATTGGACACCCCACTTCCCCCAAACAAATTACACCAAATTTACCCCCCCCCCCCCCCCAACCCCCCACAATCAATTTACCTCTATTGAACATGTCAATGTAAATTGATGGGATACTTTAATGACCAACTTACGTTCCGAAGGATGAGCAATGGAATCGTCGTTATAATTGATCTTTTTCAATAATTTTTTCAGCTGATGGCCTTGGCCATTGCCTGTGGCTTTGATCAGTTCTTTGTCTGGTGTAATCAAATATTCTGATCCACCAATCGTTACTGTTCCTTCCTAGAAATTATTCAAACGGGAAAAAGTTAAAGATTTTGAAATTGGAATGTCTCGGTAAGAAATGAATTGGTTACGGTGGAAAATAGGAGAATCCTATTCAAGATTGAGAAATAGGAAAAGTTAGAAAGGGGAAATAGAGAGATTTTATTGCGAATAAGAACAGCGGTTATAAGTTTCGAATGCAACTCTCGTGCAACTGTTGTTGCGTTCGGTACTCATGGCCACTTTCATTATTCGCAACCATACACAACTGGTAATCACTATGGTGTGAGGGCACTCTAACAACATGTTTCAGGTTTTGTTTTAACATTCCTAGAATTGATACTTACTATACTGAAGGCTTGTTCATTACCAGTTACAATTAAAGAGGCTGGGGCTGTCGTTGCACTCGAATATACTCCAGTGTTCTGAAATAAACAAGAAATTGAAAATCATTTACAAGCTCTGATTGGCTGTATTTGCAGGCGTACAATCCAATAAAATCGCTGAATTTACAAACTTTAGAGATACAAGAAAGTACTTAATAATGTCAAGGTATAAGGCGTGGTTTGACTGGGAACTTGGGAATATTGCTGTATAATTACTCACTGTTATGGCTGGAAGAGATCTCGGAGTAATATCACCATCTTTAAAAATATAAACAGGCAGATTCACATTGATCAGGCTTCTCTTTAATCTCAATTTGACGTGATCATTTTTACTGGTAAATTGTAGATGGAGCTCGTCAGGCATGCCGTCTGCTGCTCGGCGCCATCTTGAATGGTGGATGGATTTGACATGTTCTACAGTAACATCATCTGGAAGAAATGAAATGTCATACTTTACAGCTTCAACTTAGTCAAATGATGATCGGTAAAACCATGTTAGATAAGATGAAATGCCATAGACCTTAGCCTGCACTTTCTATATGCCCAATGGACCCCAATTTGGTTGGAACTGACACGTTTGACGTAGGATATCTAGATCGATTGACAACAACCCTCCCCCATTCCACCTCCTCTCCAATGATTTATCAAAATCTCTTACCATAATGTTCCACGGCATCATCGTTCATAGGAAATCCAAAAATCACAGAAATCAAAGCGATACTAAATATTAAAATTTTCATTTTGCAAAAAAAAAAAATAAGAAAGTGCCGAAAAATACAAAATTCTAGTCGAGGTTTCCACAGGTCCAGCCTGTGTGTTGTGAAGATGTCCCAAAGCCTTGGGTTTATATACGGGAGAAGGGGTACAGATTAAATGCGTGGGTGAATGAGCAAAACATGCAATTTCAATTTTAATAATTGCCCCAAGACAAAAGAAAATTATGGATTAAGGTGAATGGTGGCTCAGGGCGTTCTAGGACAGGTTATCGTAGGTTGATCGCAAGGCAATTACTGTGACGCATGTCTGAGCGAGATATACCCTGATACCTTTGTCATAAACTGCTGAGAGAAGGTATGGGAGGCCTATATAGGATGGTCTCTTGGAGGCGTTGGATCTTTCATCGGAATTATTTCAAGAATGATTCGATCCAATGGTACCGATTCGCATAGAAGATGACAATTCAAAGACCTACTAAATGTTAAACCTGACTCTGGAGTTTTTTATTTAGTTTGATTTGGTTTGATTGGGTTTGATTTGTTTTGATTGATCATGAGAAAGTTCGATTCCATGCTGGACAAATGTCCCCCATCTACAGTAACGCGTAAAAGATTAACTTCGGCCGCGGACAAGTTATAATCCACTCCAGTGTCTGATTCTAATTATAGAATTGTAAATCAAGCATTATTTTACGCTCAAGATGGTTGATCCATTAAGATAATACAACATAATTCACTTGGTAATAATATTAGTTTTGGGTATAAGTCTCGGGGGAACAGGGGCGTACGGGGGTATTCACGAAGAATTTATTTCTAGTTACAGATTGATTTATATAGGCGATTATCATATAGGATTAAAACAAAATGAAACATGTTTCGACGCGGAACACTTGTTTAATGAAATCAAAACACAATAAAATACCAGTAGGGGGGCCGGGGGCTCAAATCGTGACCAGAAGATCGCTACTTGGTGGGAATTTTAGCGATAAATTACAAAGCCTTAATTAAGCTATTCATACATTTACACGATTTCTTAAAATAATCAAATCAGCGTTCATGCATGTCGCATCCAATCCCAGTTGTATTTTTATAGACAACGTGATGGTCCCGTCGCAAGCCCGATATGTATGACTTGGTTCTTCAGACGACTAAAAGAGCGGGGGCTCGTGGAATTGAAGTTGGGAAACCTCCCCGGGTTATTTTTTGTTTTAGCATAATGTTCTCCTGCATTTGCTTCTGCGGTGGGGCCCCTTTAAAGATGGGGCCCTTTGGACTTAAGGATTCTCTATGGTTTTTGAGCCACTGTAGACGGATATCGTATACGACCAGATTTGTCGAGTTAGCATGCCGCAGGTTACGAAGCGTATGACAAAGGAAGAGCGCTCACATAAATAACGTAAATAAATAAATAAAAAAAGGCACCACATGGTAAACAAACATGTCTAATTTAAAAATAAAACAGAAAAATTGGATGCTTTCCTCTCCATTTCATTAAAATTTCGAGTTTTTTTTTGATCGAAATCACTTTTATGGGTCTATCTATTAAACAAGGCCAACTACGGTCTAAGGGAAGTAACTCTATTTAACAAAAATGCATTCTGGTCATGTGACTTGCTACTAGACAAAATGGCGGACGGTAATGCAAACAAACATTTATTAAAAACATTAGTTTTTTGGCATTTTAAGGCACAAAAGCTCCATTTAAGAGCATTGGAATACTAAATTTATATTTTTCAATTCAAGAATACTTGCTAAATTCATGAAAAGAAGGAAAATTTCAGTAAAATTTCCGATATTTCGTCAATTTATCGAAGATTTGTGCCTTGCCTGCATTAGGCTTTGCACAGTCGTTCTATCATATATCTCTCTCTTACGAAATAGTACATGTTGTATCTGTTTTAGATGATGGTGTGCTAGAGCTTAAGGATTGTAAGACTGAAGGGCATCAAACTGAGGCTGATAACTTCATGCCAAACAAAGAGTCAGAACTAGAGTCTAGAGAAGATTTTTCATCCAGATTCTTAAATATGGCTGCTGAGCTTTTTAATCAGCCAAAGTACAGGTAAGCTATCACAAGAAGAAACCTTGACCCACACCTCCATCTAAGAAGTCATTGTTCTGTCAATAGTAGGCTTACAACAGTGAATCATCCCAGCTATTGTTTCTACCACAACTACTAGTCTGCGATATCAGTTAGCTGGAAGTGGATGTTAACTTGTCATCTACCAACAACTACACCAACCATGGATGTTATATTGACTATCTCAATCTTGGTATTTTCTCTCTCATTATTGCAGTGATATAGTTATAATGTTGGAGGGTGAACAAAAACTATGGGGTCATAAAATAGTTCTATTGAGTCGCAGTGGTGAATGGGGTAAACCTGGTCTTCTGAACACCAAACAACTGGACCTATCAGGTATCTTACTCTCCTTCTCTCTCAATTCATTAGCTTTCAACCAGATTTTCCTTGTCAGTAATGCAGGTTTGAGAGGAAAGGATGTAAAAATGTCATCCATCATATGGGAATTGGAAAAAACACTAACCAATATGGAGCTACTATGCTTGCAAAATTGTACTGCATGACAATAATGCTTAGGTACAGGTGCATTTTCAAACTATCTCATACACTATATTTCAGATATTAGCTATGATGTGGGATATACCATGATGAAATGGGTCTATACAGATGATCTACCAGACAATCTTGATGTAGATTTCTTATTAATATTACTAGAATTATCAACTAGATTCCAACTACAATATCTTCATATTAGGTATGTCTTATCTTCACAATTTCAAACTATCACAAACTGTGTCTTATACCTCGACTACAATAGCTACCTTTCTTGTATCCCGGAATACAGTGATTTGATTGGGTTGATGCCTGCAAATACATCCAATCAGAGCTCTTGACAGAAAGACTAGACATTATGGCTTATTGTTTACAGACTATTGGTCGGAACTCTGATTGGCTGTATTTGCTGGTGTACAATCCAATCAAATCACTGTATTCTGTGATAGATTGTTTCACGCAGGCCAACCTTGTATTAGGGGTTGAAGTAAATAAATATTCATGATGTCACAATGTTTTAACAATAAATTTCAGATGTCAAAAAGAGTTGATGAATTTTGTTAGTGAAGAGAATTATATACGAATGTTAAAGATAGCTGAACAACTTAATGCCCAGCTGTTACAAGATTATTGTACACAATATCTACCCAACCAGGTAAATATCAAACAGAAGCAATTGTGCACACACCGAGACGATTCAAAAACCTTGAACACCATATAGCTGTAATTTGTCTAGTTGTCATTCTTCTGAAGTCCTACTGAAAAGTATGACAGCACTCATGAAACCATTTTCACAATGTCAAGCTATTACAAATTGTGTCTTATACCTTGACTGTAAAAGACAGCTTTCTTGTATCAGGAATGCAGCGATTTGATTGGATTGTACGCCAGCGAATATTGAATACAAGTATTAGACGGAGTTGGTAATATCTTGACATTGTGAAGATGATATGGAACTGGATTTGTTACGATTCGAACCATTGGCACCCAAACACCCCCTAGTTGATTATCATCTTGTTGTTACAGGACATAGTGACAGTAGAAGGATTAAGCAATGAAGAAGTGGAAGAAGATATCCAGGAGATAATCCAGCGGCATGATTTGAGAGTTGAGGATCACGACACTGCGAAGGGTCACGACACTGTGAAGGATCACGAGAATCAGGAGGAAAAATTTACGGAGATCATCGAAGCTAGGGAAATTAAACATGAAAACATTGAGGACAACATGTTGATGGAAATCAAACAAGAGCCAATGGAATTTATTCCAACAGCCCTGAATATTTCCCAGCCAAGGGAGACTATCTCGTATCCTAATCAACATTCGTGTAATATCTGTGGAAAAACATATTCACAAGTTATCTCCCTTGAACGGCATTACAAAAGTCACGTAAATATCGAAAACCAATATACATGTGAAAGATGTGGACGTGCCTTTTTATCAGAAACTGGGTATAAGACTCACGAATGTATCCAATTTGTATGTGACGTCTGCTCCTCGGCTTTTCAAACTCAAAATGAATTTGAAGAACATTTCGCGAGACATGACGATGTTGAAAAATGTGAATTTTGTGGTAAATGTTTCACAAATTTATCTAAATTAAAACAACACATCAAATCCCACCAGCCAGCTGATTGTCCAATTTGTGGTAAACATTTTACTCATCATGGTTCATTAAAACAACACGAGAAATGTCATATTCATGAAATCAAATGTAAAATTTGCGATAAACATTTTAGTTCTGTTAGTAACTTGACACGGCATGAGAATATTCATCGAGGTGTGAAACCATATCATTGTCAAGAGTGTGGTCAAACATTCACCCAAAATAACGATCTTCTACGTCACTCTAAAATACATACAGGAGAACTGGAGTTTAAATGTGAAATATGTCATCGTTGTTTTAATCGCCAGAGTACGTTAACAAAACATCGACGAACCCACACCAACGAAAAGCCATATTTTTGTCAGCTGTGTTCAAAATCGTTCACCAACAGTAGTAGTTTAAGTCGTCATATGAAAGGACATAATGGAGAAAAATCATTCGCGTGTGATGTTTGTGACAAACGTTTTATTTCTCGTACTGATTTGAGTCGTCATTCTAGAGTCCACGCCCCACGACCTCATTTTCAATGTAGTTTCTGTGAGAAAACATTCCGTACTATCAATGACCTTCAGGTTCATATTACCCAGCATTCAGCTGAGACTATCGAGTATATAGAATTACCTGTAGCACCAGAAGAATTAGAGAATTATAAAATTATTGACAATATTCAGGACAGTTAAAAGACATTTTGTTAGGTTTTTATTTTAAATATAAAAATCCCAAGAGCCATTTTCAAGTGTTATGTTGTTTTCAAATCATTTTGCCATTCTTTTGTTATTTTTTGAATAAATTTCATGCTTAAAGCCTTTTATTTGTTATTGTTTGTAAAATGCAGATGTGGTTTAAGTAATGTTATTGGATTAATGCAGATTATGAAAGCTATGCAGTGGGCAATTGGGAGTATGCAGCTTCAGTGTTTGGTCTGACCTGAATGACGTGCAATGAGGGATATTTTTCCAAACAGCTTTAGAATTTGGGCCCACCTGCAATGGGGGATAGTGTGCAATAATAATTTTAGTATTTGGTCTCACAGTGGGCAATGGGGGAGATATTGTGTCTTAATAGCTTAAGTGTAATGTCCCATTTCCCACAGTAATCACAGTATGCAATGGAGTAAATTTTGACACAAAGAGTTTACTTTCATATAAAATGGTTTTTTTACAGCATATACCATAACAATTTCAGTTATTTCAAGAGCTTTCTCTATCAAAAACAAAAACCATAGTAAAAAGACATAATGCATTAACAAATAAATTTCAACTTAAAAAAAGGTCTACCCCTGAAAATCTTCTCTTCCATTTTGAAATCAATATGATTCTTTAAAACATAATTCAGACATTATTAACATAATAAGTATTTAGAAATGAAATTAATGGAGTTTTACATCCTACTTTTCTGCACCATGTTGGCTAATGAAGACAGGCAATATCATGCAGGGTGTCAGGACAGTGGCATTAATTTCTTAAAGTGTTCAGGATTAAAATAAATTTTACTAGACCTTTCATAGGGATTGTAAAGAAGTTCTCTAGTATTTGTAAGTGTATCTGATGCACTTTATATCTTCCATTTGCACCAATCCAATATCCCTTTCGAAGGCCCTTTGCAATAGTGACATCATAAAATATTTTGTTTTAGTGGAATTACAGGAACTACAGACAACTGACGGAAAGTGGAATGGTGCAAATTGATGATGTCCCGTATACACATACAAAGTTTAGAAAATCTCTTTACAATCTCTTTAAAGGAGGCCATAATGCTTTAAGTGCATATCTTAGGTTCACTAAGAAACATAAAATACATAGTAAATTACATAAATACATGTATATTCTTAAAGCGAAGTGAATTTACAAATATAATTGGACGTCTGCTCCTGACCCTGATAATCCTCGTTCATTTTTAAACGTTTAGCAATTTCCTCTTCGCGCTCGTGAGCTCGTAGATGGTTTTCTAAGGCAGCGCGAGATTTATATGTTCGGCTAGTGTTACAGACTTTACAGGTCAACGGAGGTTCGTCTTTATGTTCAAAATCTACATGTTTCTTTAGCTGTCCATCTGTTCGAAAAGAACGATGACACATCGTGCATTTAAATATAGTGGGTTTTGGTTGGGTAAGGTGGCACATGATCATATCATACAGGTCGTCAGGCATCGAACCTTTTTCTGGCAGGACATCATCAGGTTCTTCAATTATAGGTGCCGGTACAAAGGTCCGCACTTCTTCAATGCTATTTTTAGTACTGGTTTTAGCTTTCTTACAAGGCTGAGGTGAAGATGATTGAGATGGATGTCCTCTCTTCTCAAAGTTACCGTCGTTACTATTAATAGTAAATATATCATCAACAAAACAAGAAGGACTTTGACTCATTGGTTGATTATTTGTAATCTGACCAATGGGAACAGTTCCGTCAAAGGAGTTGACAGTATTGATTTCGGCCACTTCCGCCATATTGGAAAGTGTGTAAGACTGCTGAGGATTCTGTATAGCTTCACCTGAGTCATCTACGATATAGATCATGTTTGGTTCAGGTTCTGTTGCCTGGGTTACGGTAGGTGTATTTGCTTCGTCGTTTGATGTATATAAAATTTCGTACGTAGTTCCACCAATCATTAAGCGACTTCCAGGTTGTATGTTGCTAGGTAACGCAGATTCTAATGACATGACACTCGGTTCCGTTTCAGGTTTCTGATACAGCCGAGGTTTGTAACTATTTTTAGATTGAGTTTTTCGCGTCACGTTTTCATTCCGCTGGATGATCTCGTCTATGATTTGATTGACAGGTTTATTTTTAGAAACGTCGGAGTGTAAAACGTTGGAATCGGTCGATTTTCTTGTGATATTCTCATTTCTTCTAATAATTTCATCAATGACTTTGTCTACAGGTTTGTTGAGTTTGGTATCTGTGTCCACTAAAACAGGAGTACTATTTTTATTGTGAAGTTTTTCTTGTAAAAGGTCTAAAACATAGTTTGTTTTGTAATTTATGGATTGAAGTTTAGCTGTTAAAGGTGTAGTAGACGTGACTACGTTGGGGTTGGAATTGTTAGTAGAACTGGCAGAGTTTGATTTTCTAATTGAATCCAAATCTAAAGCAACTTTCTGTTCACTCAAATTATAAATATCGTTAGCATCTAGTTGGACACAGAACTCTCCTTGATCTGTTTCTATTTTTAGAAACAGTTCCTTAGATTCTGTGGATTTCTCAGGATCTGTTTGCTGAATTACAGGTGCTGCAATTTGGTGGGTTTTGCAATGAAGTAGTAGAGATTCTTCAGACTCAAATACAGAATTACATACTCGGCAAAAATGACTTCCTGATTGAGGTACAGGTACATCAACTTTTTCTTGAATTTCCACTCTTAGTTCTGCAGCTTTTTCTTGCATTTCAATGCTGGGTTCGGCAATTTTTTCTGGAATTTCAGCGCCAGTTTCTGGAACTTCTAAACTAGGTTCAGCATCTTTTTCTGGAATATCCAGATTTGTTTCCCCAACTAGTTTCTCAACTAAAATCTGTTGATTTTCTTCTGTCGCTGGCTCCTTTTCAGGAATTCCATTTCCTTGATTTACATTTTCTACGTTTTCACGCCAGCATCCAGGATGATTTTGAGCTTCGTGTAAACTTGAAAATTTATTAGAGCAAACACTGCAGATAAATATAACCTTGGTAGCATCATCAGTCGAAGGAAGAGGATTGGAGTGGTCACGTTGAGCCATCTTTAACAATAATAACAATAAACTTCAAGCAACCTGAAAGATAGAAAAACACAGAATTCAATTTTACTGTCAACTTGATCATTTTATAAATACAATGCATGAGTAGAGGGTAGAGCAGACATTAGGATAGGGTCGTCAGTGGCATGTTTTTCCCTTTTTTCACATACAGTTACACTGTTACAGTTCAGAAGCAAGAAGCATGCCAGAGAATGTTCACCCTTCCTGAACACCTGATGTCACTTTTAATGCAGTTTGGATTTCAACCAAATTTCACATATCGTACCGAATTTACAAGGCAAATCGTATCAGAAACTGTGGAAATAATCGGCTATTCAGCAAAAGAACTTGTGGAACTTACGGAAAATACATAACTCTAATCACTTACCCTTAGAAATTGCATAAAATATTAAAATTTTGAATTTGAAATTAATTTTTTTGTCTCTTTATCCACCATTTTGAATTTAAAATGTCACGTTACCTATCACGTGACACCTATTTTCATTCCCTTAGTTGAAGTTACTTTTTTTTTCGCAATTCCACATTCGAAATGAAGTTAACTTCATCCATATTCGAACTGATGGTTTAGTTTAGGCCTGTTTGGTTACCAAAATCGTTGATGGTTCTTTCATATACATTTGAATACATAAATTTTGTTTAGGCATAGGCGTTAAGGCTTTAGGCACATAGGCCTTTTTCATATAATTCATATACGGGATAAAAGTGATAAACCGCTCTCCCCCGACCCCCCCTCCCCCCCCCACCCCCACCCCCACCCCCAGAAAGTACCAGTTATTGCAATATTTGGTAGCATAATAGAGATTCGAACCCGCCACACACAACACACAATTCACAACTCATACGCAAGCCCTACTTAGGACTATCTAGCCTTCATAACGACGCCCTGAACAGAACACACAACAATGGCCCATTTAGAAAGCATAATAAAAGAGAAAGACGTATTGAATATATCTTTCTTTACAAATCGAATTTCTTTTGACCATTATTTCTTATTGTTGAACGATACAAAACCCTTTTATAGCGAATTATTGTATGGTCAAAACATGTAATAACAAAAACACCATTTTGTCCGTCCTATAATCGGAACATCTTTTGGTTTTTGGATTATCAAGGATTTTTAACTTACAAAATATTAAAATATCGGATATTTTTCAACAAATATGGATATAAGATATTGAGAGGGATGAAGTTTTATATTTCTATTTTATTTTCGAGTTATTTTCAAGCGTACCATTGTGAGGTAAGGGTTTTGTTTTGTTTTTTTCAAGTACATGGAAGAACATGGCCGATGTTAAATACGATATACTCTGTGTATTCCGACATGTTGTTTTAGTCATGGCTGATCTCTTTTTAGTGTAAATATAGAAAAAAACTCTGAGTACTCTGACACTCTGTGTATTACGAATTACGAAACTAATCAGTGGTCCCAACACTCAGAAAAATCTGTATAATCTCATCTTAATCACTTATCGTTAATTAGATAATCGCTTGTATTTGGTTCGAACTGGCAGTGAAATAGCTCAAGCGATAGCAAACTGGTTTATCTAGTGCTATAGGTTCGAATCTTCCATTTTCTTAAATTAAGTATTATATTTTTATTCCATCTAGCTAACGAGTATTGCTCTAACACCAACTAACAATGTAGTAAAAGATACACAATTGGGTAACACAGACCTGTCCACAGTGTCTATGACACCCGCTAATACCTTCGCATCATGTTACGTCAAGCAGGCCTTTTCAGCAGCGACCGGAGTCGAAGTGGAGCATCCGTTTAATGTTAGATATGAAGCCGCAGCGGCTAGCTCATACAGTAAGTTTATAAGATAGTATCGATTCATTAGTCTTAACGATGACGGATAATGGCAAGGCAAGCTATATCCAACAGTTTAGTGGCTTCGATTCATTTGTCTGTAAGCGGGATCAACTCAAACTCTTTTGATAGGAGACGTTTAAATTATACTTTTTTTCTTATTTTTTATGCAATATTATGAAGACCTGGCTTTAATAATTTATATGGGAGATAACTCATCCCGTCTTATTGGAATTATTTTTTCAGGGAACGCACCATAGAACTAAGGGACTGAACTCTTGTTTTACTGATTTAAGACTACAATTAAATATCAAAATTTTCAATGTCTCTACATAGGCTATAATTGCATTGAAATTTGAACTACCGATGCCACAAACTGATCGGGCATGCCCCCTATTTGTATGGACCGTCTCGGGGGGCTAGCACGACCACTGTTCATTATGTATTGACTGTTTGGGTGGGGGTGGGGGTCTTCTGTATAGCTGACACTGTATATTTTGACTATTTTTAGACTGGATTGTGATATTTGACTCGACCAGTCCCTTTAAACTGGATTCAACCGTGGTACCAATATACACTGTGATAGTAGGATGTCTACAGAATGCTGTTACCCAATCAGCAAATCTTACAGTCCAAGTTCTACCCAATCAGAGACCAGCTCTTATAGATTATCCTGGAAGTAAGTAGACCTATTCATATGTTACGGGACTTTTAATTGGACACATGACACCACTCTCTTGGGCCTTGCTATACATTCAGACACCAAGCAGAATTTCTCTCATTGCACACTGTATGGACTTTTAATTGGACACATGACACCACTCTCTTGGGCCTTGCTATACATTCAGACACCAAGCAGAATTTCTCTCATTGCACACTGTATGGTGTTGCCCGCTTTTATCATCATTAGCCCAACTAGATGAAAATTAGGAATAAAACTCCGCATTTCCTTTTCTGTTTCAGAAGTAATAAGTTACAGTGCTCCAACAGTGCCCGCGGGGATGTTACTATATAAAGTAACAGCCACAGACGGTGATGGGGATGTGTTAACCTACACTTACAACATTCAACCTGCCGTTTCTTTTCTGTCCATTGATCAAGGTACGGTGAAGACTCAACCGACAAATCTGTCCTTATCAGTTACTCGGACGTGATTGATATACTCATGGGTCATCGCTAAACGTGAGGCATTCCCAACACCAGTGGCAGAGCCAGGTTTACGTTACAGGGGTTGGGGCAATATATCTGAGATTGCCCGAATTTTTAACCTAGTTTTGAGATTTTTGCCCGAAAAACATGCTTTCGGGGGCTACGAGTGGGGCGGGGGGTGGGGGGTGTATCCCCATCACATCCGCAAATTACATCAGAAGTATTGGTAGGGACAGATATGTCGGGCTAGGTGAAGTTTTTCTTTACATATCAAGGGTTAGGTATCGCAAACTCAGATGGTGTTGGCAGGATAGACTCGTCTTTCAGGAACTCGTGATGCGACTCTGCGATTGAGTTTGTCTACAAGTAATGACATCGAGTAGCTAGCTAATAATACATGGGCATTGGTATTGGATTTGTATTTTGTAAACTAGGTAGGTCCTATCGCGTTCGGAGAGGCCGTATTATTTGGACTTGCCGTTGATAATCTTGCTTTAGCATGGATAATACGGCTTGCCGAATCAAGGGCTACTTATCGAAAACTCTTACCTCCTTATATAAGCCTACTGTGGTGGTTAAAGTGCAGAAAATTAAGACGTAAAACTCCATTCATTTCAATTTGTGCTGGTCAAAAGCTATTGTACGGTTTTACTATTTCTTAAAACGATCACATGCTTCTCAGTTGATATTTTATATGGGAGATAACTCATCGCGTCTTATTAGAAATTTATTTTCAGGGAACGCAGTATAGAACTAAGGGACTGAACTCTTGTTTTGCTTATTATATATTTAAGACTACAGTTAAATAGCAAAATTTTACAGTGTGAATTATAACGTATTTCCCAATGTTTTGAGTACTGTCCGTTAGAAAAATGGCTAATTGAATGAATTTTTACGTCTGTGCGTCCTATTTTCTATGCGATATCAGGGTAAGAAAGGTATTTACCCTAGCTATTACATGCTTTAAGCTCTACTAAGCGTAAGAACTACATTATGTAGACCCAAACAGCAAATTGCGCCTGTCGCTCTGCAACATATTCTGCTTTACGGAAACTACCGAGGTTTGCCGAATGATGTAGACCCTAATGATCACCATTTTGTATTCCAGTTACCAATGAGATTAGCGCTGCGGTTGATTTCCGATCCGTGACGATTCCATTAGTAACAATCAATGTGGATGTCACTGACGGTTTCGATACTTTGACTGGCTTTAAATTACAGATACAAATACTAAGTAAGTATAACGTATAATCCGAAGTATAAGACGCACTTCACTGAATACGCACCTTATTATCTACTAGCATTTTATAGATACATTCATCACTACAATTGTAGGTCTTAGTTTACCCTATAAGGCAATCACGGTTAATGCTGCTGTCCTGGCAAAAGTTTCCTCTTTGTACACTGCATCACGTGGCGTCTCCATAAGCTCAATAAAGCACAGAACAGTTGGGTGTAAAACTCCATTTCATTTCAATTCCAGACTTAAACACTCGTCCAGAAATCACTAACCTACCAGCGGCTGTAACAATGAAAGAAGACGTAAACGGTGGAACATTGTTAATAGATTTATTATACCAAGATCCTGATTATACCGGGTCTTTTATCCCCGACTGCTCGGTATTCCCTAATATCAACCCCTCTATTATCTCTATATCTGGTAGGTTAATCCTCCATCCATGGGCTGAATGTTAGACAGGACCATGTCCTAGTGTATTCGGCCCTATACCCATGTGAAATGAAGAGTCTAATTTTATCCCCATGGGCTGAATGTTAGACAGGGCCATGTCCTAGTGTATTTGGGCCTTATTCTTACCCATGTAAAACATAGAGTCTATGTCTTGTCACCTTGGTGTATTGTACCTAATTCTGACAATATCTACTATCATTATTGTTATTGCTAGCGTTCCATCCAATCAAATCTTCTGTGATACAAGGAAGGTGGCTATTGCAGTCAAGGTATTAAACGCAGTTCATAATAACTGCAACAGCTAATTAGGGGTTTTTATTATGTTATTGTAGGTAGTAGACTCACACTAGCTAACGGAGGAAATGGTAAAAGTCTATTGGACTATGAAGCCATCACCAGCTATAGAATTACCTGTACTATCTTTGATGGTTACCTGTACTCGGAGAACGATGTGCTGACGCTCAATGTGGACAATGTAAATGAACCACCAATCTTCAATCAAGCTAGTGGTGTTTATAACTGTCAGCTCCAAGAATCTAAGGTTAGTGACAGACACCTTGTTCAAGCTCTGAAATCTACAGTCTATATGTCTTAAAACCTTGACTCTTATTCCTGCTCGTTGTACTCTTGACTCATATTCCTGCTCGTTGAACTCTTGACACATGCTCTGAAGACTCTGGTAACTCTATCTCCGTTTCTTTTACAGGCAGGTGGATCATCTTGTAATTTATTTCTCAGTGTCCAGGATCCGGAAAGTGATGCATACACAATTTCAATCCGCCCAGGGAACAACAACGAACGTTTCACATTCGCTTCACCATCGTCTGATATCCTGACTTTCGCCACAGACTATGATGTCGACAATAACGCCATGCCGAGCTCGGTGTCCCTGGATATAGAAGCAAGGGACGCTAATGGTGCAGCAGGATTCGCCCAGATTAAGGTCACCATCACTGATGTCAATGATAACGAGCCAGTGTTCCCTGGTTCGCAACCTGTCATCGAACTCAACGATTTGACGCCAATAGGTAAGTTAGGCTTAAACCCCCGAAAGATGAGGTCATGGGTTTTGGTCTCGAGCTGTGGGAGAAAATTTGATGTCTTTGAATAAGCAAATTTTACAAAGTGGAAAGATTATCCAATTATTATTGGAGAGATTTGGCCAAGGATCAGATGGCCTTTTTGAACTATAGGTGTTATACTTGTGGCGTTGGACAGACCAGAGCTATGGAGCCAACGGATCAGCAGAAAGGATCGAAAGGAATGCTCCTATCTGAATAGATCCTACCCCATAGCTTGTAGGGAGTTATCTTATAATGGATGTATCTTTCTGTAGGGTTGGTGGGTATTCTTCAGGCGTCTGATGCCGATTCTGGATTAAACGGTGAAGTAGAATATAGAGCTACAACCATTAGTCCACTGACAGCTGCCAATTATCTCAACGTACTAGGTATGTATGGGTGGAAAGGGCTGAGGGTCGAGTCTCGAAAGCACTGACTGTGGCGTCAGAATCCTTCTTACCTTGAAGACCTGCAAATAATCGCCTAGCAGATCGCAACAAAGGGAGATGTCTGAATTGCAGGCAATGGTTCTAATGGACAAGAAGGCGTCGGATCTGTAGACATTGAAGGAACTTAATTGGTCTGATGTTGAAGGTGGCCGAATTTTAGGTGTGCTCTCATCATTTCAGGCAACGGGCAGATCCACTACACCAAACAATTCCCAGATACTTGGTCCGGGACAACCATTCTACTGACAGCAGACGCCGAAGATAAGGGGATACCCAGCAAGAAAGCCTCTACCACACAAACCGTTCGATTTGTGACCCTTCCAACAACCACCCAACCGCCTCCAGCTACAACGCAACCCGATACTACCCCGAACCCACTCTCTCAGCAACCAGAGCAAGGCTATTTTGACGAACCGGCTAATATTGCTATGGTGGCTGTTCTTGGAGTAATTTTATTTATTGCTCTACTGATAGCATTGTTTTTCTGTATGAGGAAACTATTCTTAGGGTATTGCTGTACTAGACCAAGGTAAGGATTTTTATCGAGATCTTGTTGCAGTGATTTTTCAAATCACCAGCCCAATGGCTCATGGTGGAATCCTTTTTTTGTTCCATCTTCTCCAGTCTACAAAGAGTTTGTTTTGATATTCGTTATATTTATTTATATTCTAGCCATGGTAGAGTTCATCCTTATAATGGTTACCCTCCAGAGTAAGTATTATAATCTCTTACTTGAAGAGCAAGCAAAAACCTACATGCACATGGAACGGAATTGTCCTCAGTTGGTAGACATAACATAGGATTCTCATTTTAAAAAGTAATACGGGTCACCTAAATTGTGTTTTATCAGCTCGAAAACTACTGGACTAGACTTCAAAAGCACGTTCTTCATTCTCCTTCATACGCCTGCCAGCTCCTTGTTCTTCAATTCACTGTATGTCTATTTACAGCTATTACACACCACCAAGACAAAGTCGATATTCCGGGTACCCTCGGTACTACCGGGAACCCTCCGACCATGTAGACCCAAGGGAGTATTACAGAGATCCTCGATATCACAGAGACCCCAGGCATCCGCTCTCTGCAGGCAGCATTCACGGAGGTGAGTTTTTGTTAATGTGCAGTCTCTCTTGAAATTTTCAATTAGACATGAGAATGTGCATGGCTATACATCTAGGAGTGTTCGAGTTAAAAGTGTCCACAAAATACATGAAATCAGCTAATCGTACCATAGCCCATGGCTGGAGGTCCTAGACTTGATGCTACTTCTTCCAGTACATCAATTTTTCACTCTTTCTTTTCCAGAGATCATAGCAGTTGATGACCGAAGAAGTAAACCGAGCAGACTGGCGCTGCAACCATTTTAGACTTCTGTTATAATCCTTTGTGGCATTTGTGTAAATATTTTCATGCAGGACAAGCAAATATTGTGGCTTTCTTATCAAGGAATTCCCATCTTATTGATCACTATACCTTTGCGATATTGGGTGGGAGGTGCTAAATCAGTACACGTGTGATTGACATGTTTAGTCCCACCCTTAACATGTGCTGTGCTAAATTTAACAAACTTCATAGAGCTTCCCAAAAAAGAGTCCTCACACCATAGCAATCACCAAGTGTGAGAAACAATATCGACGGAACTCGCAACCATTCGCAACTGATGATCGCTGTGGTGTGAGGGTTCGTTAATCCTCTGAAATGCATTGATTATGTCCAACCGTGTCTGTGATATTGTACTTTTTTAAATAAATTATATTTTATTTTCTTCGGAGTTTTTAACATTAGATGTTTCAGATCGGATGTATTGATCAGGGAATTTTACTCAAATACAAGTCATTATGGATTATATATATTTATTGATTAAAGAAGAAACAACAATGTTACTATGGTGATTAAATAACACAAGAATAAAGCAAGAATATTAAAAGTTTAATGCCTAAAATTCATTCAGTCCAAAGTTTAATGATTATGATTAGAGGTAAGGACAAGTCCAGTGTTCGTCAGTGTTTTTGATCAATTTTAGCAAATGACAAGCCTTTTTTATTTGATCTTTGACAAATTTACTGCAGCACAAGAAGTGCGTATTATATTCGCAATTGTACAGTATATAGTTAGGTCTGACAGACAGAAAGTTTGATGAGTTAGGGTAAAGGGATGTGATGATTATCAAAATAAATATATATAGTCTAAGGTTATTGGAACTGACATACTGCATGGCAGTTTATCTGCTGCATGTCAGTTTATATGCTGCATGACATTTTATATGCTGCATGGCAGTTTATACGCTGCATGGCACATTATGTACTGTATGGCAGTTCATCAATTCAAAAATCAAGGAAAGATAGTTCAATTCTTCTGAATTATCTCCCTTACTTAAACAGGAAATGACTTTGTAGCCTTATCAACAAAATCATTTCCAAACAGTAAATTTCAAAAACAAAAATTGGGAATACATATTTTAAAACGATCAAGTCCTTTGTTTAAACTAAGAAAAGAAAAGGGACAAATTATGATTTTTTGGATAAAAAATGGAAAAAAAGAAAAATGCCGTTAGCTATGTTTAAGAAATGAAAATAACATGAAAAATCATAATTTGATTGCAGTTCTTTAAGATTATATGGAAAACATTCCTAAATGCTTGACAACTTTCAATTCTGATTAAAATACAAAAATTGATATACTCCGTTACGTTTTTATTTACTGTTATACGCAGTTTCACTGTGACACATGAGTTAACATAAAAATATAACGAAAAGCAAACAAATTCGTATTATAATCAAATTGGAAAAAGTCTAAATATTATCTCTTTGATTCAAGATTACACAAAATTTCTTTCCAAAATTTCTGCAATAATTTTAATTTCATCATTTTTTTAGTTTTTTGTTTTTTGGCTTACACAATTTCATAAGAAAATTCAAAAATCTTGAACCAAGGTAGACGTGATCAGTCCAGTATGTCATTACTTATTCAAAACAAGTTTAAAATTGTAGCAAGATAGTCTTGTATTGTCCAGTCTTTGCAGCAATGCATACAGATAATTATTTTTGCATACTGGACTAATCAAGTCAACCACGGTAGACGAGATCAGTCCAGTAAGTCAATAACAAGTTCAAAATTGTAGCAATATAGCATGTCTTATCCAGTCTTTGCAGCAATGAGACAAAAGAGCGAAGTTTATAGCCATACTGGACTGATCGCGTCATTTCAATATTATTATGAATATATTTTCAAGAAAAACATGTGAACATCTAAATAATAAGAAACATTAAAAAAAAAGCAAACCAACTTAGCTAATCCCTTATTAGCCAATCATAATAATCCATCAAATACTTGGGAGGTCCTTTACCAATTACATTTCTTGTATTACAGAAGTTTGTAAATACAGCAATTTGATTGGGTTATACGCCATCGAATACAGCCAATCATAGACCTCGACAGACTGTAGTCGTTATGGCTTATTCTTTACTTTCTGTCGATGATACTGATTGGCTGTATTTGCTAGTGTACAATCCAATCGAATCGCTGCATTAACACACTTCCGTGACAAAAAGGTACCTAAAGATGAAAGTTGTTCAAACAAATGTACATGTCTATGTCTCTCAATTCATATTCCAAAACAACTCTAAATACAAATAAACGTGCAGTAATTTTTACAATGTGTTATGTGTAACACAGCTAAGGGGTTTTCTAAGCTTGAATGCTGAAAAACATCTTATGAAACTTTTCAAATTGTTCAAAGTTTTACACAAAAAAATACTTTGAAGGCATTCAAAATTTCACAAAAAAATAACGAAATACATTTTCAGTTCAAAATTGCGCTACCAAATCAGTCACTTTTTCAGCCAATCAGAAAGGTTTGACAAAACTAGTCTGGGACTTTCGACAAATCAAATCAGCCAAAACAAACATATAATGGACCAATCATATCGCTTTTTACTGACAATGTATTACGCCTTATATGGAAGAAAACATTCACAATATTATTACAATGCATTATGGGACAAAAAATCAGAAAACAGTCAACACCAATTTATATTCAAATATCAGTTCCTTCAAGCTCTGATTTCATTGGCTAAAACATTATTCCAGAATCAAATTCCTCACCATTGATTGGGTAAGAAATGATTCCATTGACCAATGAGAAAGAAACTGATATTGTCATTCACGTGTCACTTTTTCTGGTTTTCTATCAACCAGTAGCTATAGCCTAGTTTATCCAGAACTTTTACATTGATACCTATATAACAAAGACCTGACAATCTAGTCTTAATGTTGTCTTCACTATATAGGTAAGTAGAAATAAGCCTGGATGAAAATAGACTATATATGTCTAAATAAAGGACTGGATAATAGTAGATTATTTCTCTGTTTTGATGACTCGCGATACTGGTATCTTCCTCGGATTGGCTGCGGTATTAAAATTGGCTCCGCCTCCAGGTTGAACATGAGGTCTGAAACGACAATGGGATTAGATACAGTTTTAAAAAAGGTCACAACAGCGCAAGACAAGAATTTGAAATAATTCTTCTTGGGAGTCATTTCACAATGTCAAGCTATTACAAACTTTGTCTTATACCTTGATTACAATAACAACCTTTCTTGTATCACGGAATGCAGCAATTTGATTGGATTGTATACCTCCAAATTAGAGAAACTTCAATTACTTACCCATCTCCTGAGTTATCAACTCCCACACCAAGGTCATTGAGTATCTGAAGAGCAGCCTGATCATGGGAAGATTCCAATGTGGCACCAGATGCGTGTATAATTTGAGGTGGATTTAATCCAATTGTCAATCGACACAAATGATCGTTCTTATTCTTCTGAAAGAAAATATAGTTCATTATTTGTTCTAAAAACATGGAAGTATATTAGGTATAAAGACTCTTCAAAATCTTAAGATGCACTGCAGCCTGGGTGGTTACATATTACGTCTCCATCTTATACCTTGACTGCAATGGTCCACTTTCTTGTTTCAAGAACAGCAATTTGAATGGATTGTACACCAGCAAATATAGCCAATTAAAGACCTCGTATAATTTGTTATAGTCAATCTGTCGCGAGCTCAGACTGGTTGATTCGTTAGTGTATAATCCAATCAAATCACTGTACTTACAAACTTCACTTACAATCTTCCAACTTCACTTACAAACTTCAAACTTCACTTACAAACTTCAGTTACAAGTTGCAAAAAATTCAAATTGAACTTACCTGTCCAGCAAAATCATCAAAATTGACATCAAACTTATGAATGGAGGCTAACTCTCGAAGACGTATTTCTGGACGTACATTGGATTGACTAGGTAAAGACCGACCCAATCCAAGGTTATTCAAGTCTTCAGACTGGGTCGTTCCTAAAACAAATATCACACATCTATTATCCAGTCTTATCAACATCAGATCAAACTTTCATTCTGTTTTCATTAGCTTATATTTTTAATGAAGCCACTTCATTAAGGTCTAAAGACGGGTCTTTTGATCATTCATCCCTTTAACATTTTGACCAATCATATTTCTGCCCTCTCCAGAACTTGTCTTTTTTTATCCAATCAGATTACTAAGAAGTTTAAGTGAGAAAAAGAAACAAACCTTGTCCAAAAATAGTAGGGGATTGATTGTGTGTTTGTGAGTTACGACTAGAATCAGGTATCAATAGTAGGCCAGGAACCAACTGTCGTCCAGCCTTAATATTATTACCACTAGAATTTACTATAATACAATATAATACAGAGATTGATAAGATTTCCCTAATTTACTGTCGTCCAGCCTTAACATTATTACCACTAGAATTTACTATAATACAATATAATACAGAGATTGATAAGATTTCCCTAATTTACTGTCGTCCAGCCTTAACATTATTACCACTAGAATTTACTATAACACAATATAATACAGAGATAGTAAAACACAGATACCATTCCAATTTTCAGTCAAACGTCTGTGGATCTTTAAACATTATTTGAACCATCATTTAAGGTTTTAAATTCCACTAAAACTAAGTGTTCAATGTTTCTAAGTTGCTAAATAACAGCATGAGATCAACATGAATAAGAATAGATTAAATATTGTACCTCCATTTTCTCCGCCACTTTCCACAAACGTCACTTTCTTATCACTTGAATTGCCCTGAAAATAGAACGAAAGATGAAATCAAGTTCTTTATCTTGCCTACTGCTCAGCTTGTGCTTTCAGAAACCCCAGATGCTTCAGAGAGTCCACACAACTAATATTGTTTGTTGGATATATAATAAACGTGGAAAATATAAAGAATTAAATATCAATCAATACCTCATTAGTTTTAATGGCTGATTTTGAAGGTTGTGGAGGAGACTGGTTAAATCCTAGATGATGTAGCATGTTTTCGGCGGCATTCCGTTTGGCCAGTTTTTTATTATGTCCTACACCAGTACATTTCTCTTCATCTACTTGCACCTATAATACAAACAAATCATTGAGATACATACCGAAAGCACTGGCTGTATCAGATATTTTAATGCTTGAAGTAGCTTGTAATACAGGCAAGGAACACTAACTTTCCAGAGCACCTAATCAGTGGTATTTCTAGGATCTCAGAAGGGGCCACACATTCTCAACGTGATTAAGTTTTCTCTATCTCATACCTTGACTGCAATAGCTACCTGTCTAGTATCACAGAATGCAGTGATTTCATTGGATTGTACTCCAGCGAATAATTCACCTACCTGCATAATAAATTCTCTTCTATGATAAACTCCATGGTCAGCTACTAGAGTAAAAACAGGTTCTTTCTTCTTCTCAGCTTGTGTAATCTGTATGAGTCTAGAGATAGGATTGATAGTCACACCGTAGTTCTGATCCCCTTTCTGTACTTGTGGTATCAACTGAAATATGACAAGCATTCTACTGATGAAATATTATGAAAGTTGAACTCATCCCAAATGAAATTCCACTTCTAATTCACAAAGATATATATTATGCATGATCTTAGTTTTAAGACTCATCCCAAATAAATTAAATGGAGCTATTTTTCAGGGCCACATGCAGAGTAAAAAAATACTTTTAGACATGACCGGTAAAATGACCTGTAATCAAAATCCCTGATCAGCTTACCTTAATCAAATTCCTATTCTTCTTTTTGGTACTTGGTGGTCGATTACGTGTTGGCACGATTGAATTGGGTAAATTTGGCAGCTTTTTCAATTCGTCTAACATCAACTCAGCAGCCTTTTTCTTGGACAGTTTTTTAGAGTTACCCTCCCCTTCTGTCACCTTGTCTCCAACAGTACATCGAGTTATAAATACCTTCATATGTGGTGGACCAGACTCCTTTATAACCTGTAAAAATATAACAAGAGTTAAACATCTTGATGTTCAGGGTGTTTTCGAGATTAGAGCCCTCCATCTTAACCTCTAGCACTGATTCTAACATATCCTAGCACTAAGATCGTGTTGGCACTACATGGCCAGGTATTTACCTAACTTTCTCTCTGAGTATTCAAAATTTGTGTGGCCTCCCTTTACCTGTACATACCTCAAAAGAGACGGCCATGTTTCTTTTCAAACCTATTTCATGTACTAGACTAATTTCTGATTTTAACTCATCTCCAGGAGCCACTGGCGCTGAAATAACAAAATCATCCAATAAAAATTAAAACTTTAAGAAGAAATAGTGTTCCTTTAATTATTAAATAATTCTTTACACCCTCTTAGTTGGCTTAATTCTAAAACAATCTTAACTGTAAACAATATATCCTTCAGACAGTATTTACTCATCATCAAAATCATCTTCACAATGACAAGCTATTACAAACTTGGTCTTATACCTTGATTAGAATAGACACTATTCTTGTTTTAACATTGTGTAGATGAGTAAAAGAAATTTCAATGCTTACTTTCAGTTTTTTCTTCTTTCTCTTCACTTTCTCCCTCAGGTTTAACTGGTGGAGTAGGGGTAGGGAGGTTCTTTAATATACGCAAGGCTTTATTAGCTGCTGTATGTCTAGCAGCCTGGTGTGTTGGACCTTCTCCTATAAATTCTCTTTGTCCAACTTTCAATGATACATAGGCTGTTCGGGTTGGTCTTGGATAACGGTATCTAAATGAAAATCAAATTGGGCTAATGAAGACAGGTAATGCCATGCAGAGTGCAAAGAGGGAAATTTTGCCAGGCTAGCCTGCTCTTTTTCGAATTTGCTTATAAATTGTCCCAAAGATCAAAATTGCTGCCAGAAATCCATTGACATGACTGGTAAATAAAGATAAATCAACAGCCCTGATCCTACCTTTGATTATAAATTCCTCGGAAATCAAAGTTTGGTTGATGATAGTATTGAGAATGTCTGGGTTCAATGGCTTTATAACTAGCTACTTCTCCTCTTCTCATAGCCACAGCATTTAACTCTACTGTCGGCATTATACTGTTTGCTGAAAGTAAAAACATATGGAGTTTAACACCCTATTAAACTTCCAAATAAACAGAATTTCTTATTTCTACAAAATAAAGAAAAGAACTTACATCCTCTGCCAGAAGATCTTTCAGGTTTAGGTGGTGGTTTAGGGAAGGCTGTTTTCTCTAAAGATAGACTAGCTACAGCATGTTGAGCCTTCTTAATACTCTGGCCTGATGCTGAGTACTCTTCTTCTCCTAGTTTAAGTTTAACATAGAATAATTTCTGATGTGCTGGTCCTTCTTCATCTACTAACATGTACTGGTGTGAGACCTGCAAATTAAATGGATGTTTTAATCCGTCTTTAAAAGTTTGCTAGGTTCAAAGAATAGCTTTGCTTTACGATCAAAGAATGGTTTATTTGGTGGTCCATGTTGGCTGTAAGCTAGCACAAGTCTGTCTTGCCTAAGGTAAGTCTGTCCTAAGAAGCTGCAGGTGACAATCTTGACTAGTTTTACATATTACTTTTCTCCTCTAGACATGACTAATGAAGATGTGAAGCACCAAATAATACAGTGTCAAATGAGGGAAATATTTCTTGTGCAACCTTAAAGAAGGCCTTTATTTCTCACGATGTTAACAACTAGCAAAGGAAAAGACTTTAAAAGAAATGTAACTATGATTACCTTGTTATAACGAGCTAATTCGTTCAATAGACACATTGGTGTTTTCTCTTTCGTGTTTGCCACATTAATTCCCGTTTCCCCTTCATTTTTAATTACGTTACTCGAAGATTCTGATGTCACAGTATTATTGGTACCGGCTGTTGTCGTTTCACCGTCTTTACTACCATTTTCATTGGCTACTTTTTGATTAGTCATCATAGCAGGTTGAGATGCATTGTTTGGATTGGTTAAAATTTGAGTTGGTTTCTGCAGAACCATTGTGGGTTGTTGCCCTTTATTCTGATTGGACATATTACCAGCCCCTTTATGGAGATTGTTTTGATTGGTTAAAATCGCGGTTGGTTGTTTATTTTGATTGGTTGGCAAGTTACCAGGTTGAATATTGCTATGAAGTACCATGTTATTATTCGGCATTCCTTGTTGTGGAGGCATCATTTGTTTATTGGGATATCCCTGTAAATACTGGGGATTTCCTTGTGGCGGTCCTGACATGGGAATTCCCTGTTGTGACAGCTGCTGGGGGTATCCATGAGTCATCATAGCTTGATGATGTTGACGTCCTCCCATTTGCTGCGGATTTCCTGAATTAATAAAGAAAATATACATAAGCTCAATTCATATAAATAATATCATAAAAATATAATGTAAGCAAGAATTGGTTTGATCTCGTTAAATTTAAATAATGCCTAGAATTATGCCTAGAGAAATCTTGAAATAATACCACAATTAAAACTCACCAGGCATGTTGTTCATATTCATGGAATTCATATTGTTCATGTTATTCATGGTTTACGTCTAATTCTAGCTAGAGTTATCTCTCTTGACACCAAAATCTTCAGAATAAATCGTACACAACTCTTCTTTCGACGTGATCTGGGACACAAGTCAAAATCTGAAGATAAAAGATATCAAATTTCTCATTATTATTAGTCATAATTGGCATTTAAAATTAAAGAATAAAAGGGTATTAGGCCTAATTAAGCCATGCCAGTGTAGAAATGCACCTGCACTACACTAGACGTAGAGTAATTCGTCTTACACCCACCCAAGATTATTATTTTACCAGGGCCAATCAAATCAATCAGCAATTTACTACAATATGATACTGTGATTGTTGATCACATTACGTCGTGTTTACATTTTTATCATAACCGGTGGAATAAAAAGGCTTCGATCAGCAGTTTTACCTTTAATTTAATCTAAAATGGAGAGTAAGATGAAAGATTGTGGCTTGAAGTTGAAATCTAAGCTTTAATTTTTATCCCAGATAAGGCAGAAAATAGTTGAATAATGGCAAACAGTAAAGAAAATTTTTCGACTAAACGTCGTCCATGTTGGTCTGCTAGCGCGTAAGGAAATCTCGTTTCGGCGAGACCTAAAATGGCTAAGTCTAAAATTAAGAAAGAGATTTTTCTTTTGATGCTTATTCTTTATTGTCACCGCTGGGCAATGGAAGCTTTAAAATGACTACAAAACTGCCATTTCATCAAAAAAATTGCTTTCAGATTTCTTTATAAATTGGTTTTAATTGGTCGATAAAGATAGAAAGACAAAATTTGGAAGAAAAAATGCAAGACTAAATTTTAGACACAACCATTTTCATGGGAGACCTTGACCTTCTTACTTGATAGACTGGTTTGTTTACATATTTTTGATGGAATTAGTGAATATTTTAGTTATTTAATGGAAAATCTACACGTTCGTTGCTTTCCTCATCAATATGGTAATATTTCCTTATATAATATGTAAAAGATTACATTTGCAGCGTAATTTGGAAAGGAATTTGCTTAATTTCAGCCAAATGTCTGTTGTTATAACATGCTAAATAAACACTGGGCTTATCACACCTGCTAGTAGAGTTCGACCATCTGCCATATTGCGCTGCCAACGAGTCTAACAGACCTTTAAATGGATCGTTTTAGGTCATCAGAATATTCACTTGTAGCTCATGCGTTGGCCCATCTTGCATTTTTACATCAATTGTTGTTGAATTATCTTAAACATTTCAGTTCAGAACACCATACTGATGTCGTGACATGTCTGCTGAACAAATTGCTTCAGAGCTCTTCAAAATCCACAAGTTAAAGTTAAATAAAGCTGTAAGAGTGGGAAAGAGAATCATGGAAACCGAAGAAGTGAATTCGGAAGGAACTTTCAACAGTGAAAAGAGCTCGGATAATGATATCAAAAGTGAAGAAATGGATTTTCAATGTCATATTTGTCTTGAATATTTACCAGATGTGTTGAGTTTCAAATCTCACTGTGCAGCTCACAATAAGGAAAGCCAATCTCCGTATAAATGTGAATACTGTTCTAAAATCTGTTCTAATCGAAGTGGGTTACGAAATCATATTAGGATCCATACAGGAGAGCGGCCATTTTCTTGTGATCTATGTGGAAACAGTTTTATTCAGAAACAACATCTATTGACCCATATGTTGACACATTCTGGTGAGAAACCTCATTCTTGTCATCTCTGTGATATGAGTTTTACCACAAGTGGAGGGTTAAAAAAACACATTCGAACTCATACAGGAGAAAGACCATATTTATGTGGAATTTGTAACAGAAGCTTCTCTCAAACAGACCATCTTCAAGGACACATGAGAAAACACACTGGAGAAAAACCTTACAAATGTGATGTTTGTGATAGATCTTTTGGACAACGAGGTTCCTTACAAGCTCACTTTAAAACACATACAGAAAATAAGACACATGTGTGTAAAATTTGCAGTAAATCATTCCAGAACAGCGACACACTATTGGAACACATGAAAACACATAATGGTGAACGTTCGTTTGTGTGTGGCGTGTGTGATAAAAAGTTTATGACCATGTCACATCTTCAGAGACACATTCGATGTCACACGGGAGAGAAGCCATATTGGTGTAAGAATTGTGGGAAGTGTTTTAGTGACAGACTATCGTTAGTGCAGCATCGATTACTTAAAATGTGTATCATTAATGAAATACAGAAATCAGGTCAATATTTTTGTTCAAACTGTGGTACATCTTTTACTAGAAACAGTTCTTTGTTACGTCATAAGAGAAGAACAAAATGTCAAGAAGCTTTCCTCCATGAGAAACCAATTAAAAACATCAAAGTGGAAAACACACGTGACAGTTTTAGTGATTCTGAAGATTGCTTGGAATTAAATGGCTACTCTGAATTCATTTCCAAACAGCTTCAATATCAAAATAGAATTATCAAAAACGGTTTAAGTAATCAAAATGACACGGACCAAAACACTTCAATTGAACACGCAAATCAAATAGAAATCAAACAAGAAATTGAAGAGCTAGAAAATAACTTAAGTCCACAGACAAATTCAGGACTGACCGAAATCCAGATGGGAAAAGACAGTTTGATTAAGCTATGCAAAGCAAACGAATCTCAACAAATGCAAAATGAGTGTTCAATAGGAGACAACTCAGATAATTCCAGTGAAAGTGAGGCTGCGTCCTCCCTGATTGAATGCAGTAACCGTGACGATAAATTAATTGACAGCAAGAGAAACTCAGGTGAAAAGTTCTTAAAAAAGATTTTACGGAATGAAGGAACCTATTTTAAACCACAGATAACGAGTCAGAATTGACTAAAGCTTGCTTGATCCTTTCAAATCAAGCTTGTTATTTATGTTAAGAAATAAGTTTTGTCAAATATTGTACAATAAATTATAAGAACTGAAAATAGTTTATTTATTTAAGAAGGGGAGGGGAAGAAGGGAGAGAGGGGCCCAAGCTGTGTAGACTATAATACTCTTCTCACTTAGCAGACCGTGTAACACTGAATGCTTAAGAATTACATCTCTAATTTACTTTTATTTTAAAGGGATTGTAAAGAGGTTTTATAAATTTTTCATGTGTATTGATGTTATTGGTGTCTCTGATACACATAAAAAGTTTAGAAAATCTTTTTACAGTCCCTTGAATAGTTATAGGCTATAAACGTCCTGAGGCCTTTCTAATAAAATTGGATTAATTGAGCTGTAATCAAGGGGTGTCAAATTGCCAGAAGATAGCACAGTATGTCTAAATTCATTTATGCTCATTAATGACTAGAGACAACAGAAACTCACATATGATAAATTTATTTTCATGATTATAATGAATTCTACAGATTGTTTGTTATAAATAGAATGAAATAATTATGTCAGTCCAAATGATAAATACAGAACCAAAATCCAATTAAAAAATCATAGTACATACACAATCATGCTACTTAACATCTAAGTGACCTCATATGAATGGAGAATGGTTTATGGAGAAAAAGCAGCTGACATAAAGATGAAGCACTATTCTTAACATTGCACTATTATTACATAATTTGGTTTTAATAAATTCTGAGGCCTTAATCTCTATAAACATAACTTGGATAATTTAACCAGTCATCTGATTGGTCAATAATGTTAATAGATTATCCAATCAGATTACTGTATTTTGAATTTTATGCTCTTGAGAATAGGCACTGCTTCATTTACAAAATTTCTTTCCTTAGCAACGTACGTTTTGATTCATAGATTCTTTTCTCACAGAAAATTTCCATTTGCTCAATATGAAATATATACAACTTTCAATATGCCTTCCCGCCCCATTAAATCAATTAGATGAAATGGTAGATTGTGAAAGTTCTAATAATTTGCGTAAAGATTCTAAACATTTGGTATCTTTTCTCTGGTCTTCTCCAGTCTCAGTCTGAAATATTAAAATCATACATACAATTTATATATCACATAATTGCGAGTATAATTTAACATCCCTTCATGCCCATCATGCCAAAAAAAAACACTAGCGGATTGTGAAAATACATCTCTACAGGTGCCGTGGTGTACTTCCAGCTGTCTAGGGAAGTCAGAAGATACTATAAATAACTCACCTTATATTTGACTGTTAGTTGTTCTTCAGCCCAAGAAGCATATCTCGCATTTATTTGTTTTTCTTTACTTCCCTTACTAAATACTGTAGCTAGATTGGTTGCCGCCTGTAAAACAATACATTACTTTAAGACAATGGGCTAACATTACCAATGTTTAGAGGTCAGCTGAGTTTTATTGTACACAACGTTTCAACAATTTACATTGTCGTCATCAGGTGAACGAATCTATCTTATGTGTACTAATAAAACTAAGGAGTAGTATACCCCTAAATGTTGCTTACAGATTAAAAGATGATATATAAATGAATAGGGAAAAGAGAAGGGACGCAGGCTGAAAATAGGTCATATCGCACAGTGTGAAACATCATGTTTTAGGTTCTGTTTTAATATTTCCTAGAATAAAAAGAAATAGAAGTTTTATCTTACCAGTAATACACCGTATAAGGCTCGAACATTGTTAGGATTCAATCGAACAGCTTGAGCAAAATAACTTCTAGCTAGTTCCATATTGTCTGATCCACCCATAGTAAACCGAATCTAAAAAAAAAATACATAATTAAAGGTATTATAAACGTACAAATAACAAGAATTAAACAACATATGGCCACCCCTAAAACTATCAAGAAAAACAAACTAGCATGCGTATTGGCTGCTAACACTGATATCGATTTGCACCATTTCAATTCTTAGTCAGACGTTTGTGGTTCCTGCAAATCTATCAAAATGACTTTAGATATTGGCCAGTGTTTTCAAGAATCAACCTTCAAGACTTTCTACTTACCTCAGCATATTTTTGGTGGAATAAATGGTTATGAGGATTGGACATTATAACTTCTTCCATACAGAAAGCAGCATTAAAATAATCAAACTCTGATAGATACAGATCACATAACTCCATCCATGATTCATAGTCCGTCATAAACCTACAATTAAATCAAAAAAATAGGTAAGAACTCATCAATCTAGACACCCCCTGTCACAGAGCTAAATTTGATACAGACAAGAATAGAAAACTTACTTTTTAAGATAGTCATTTAGTTTCTGTATGGCCTCTGCCGTTTTACCCTGAGCTTTTAAAATAGCAACCTGTCTCTTTCTAGCTATCTGAAAATAACAACAAAATGATTTACATGTCAAATTCAATGTAGGAATTCATAATCGTCAAATTTCCAATATATTGTATGCTGCTAGCCCACCAAGTTTAACATTAACAGATGATAATACAAGCCCTTTGAACAAAACTTTACTCACCATATTGGTGGGATCTTTTTCTATAATATCGGAATATAGTTTATCAGCTTTGTTAAATCTGTAAAAAATTCAAAACAAAAACTTGTTAACTGTCTAACAAAAAACAATTTCTTATCTTCACTATGTCAAGGTATTACTATATTCCATCTACTACCTTGAAATGCTGTGATTGGATTGTACGCTAGCGAATACAGCTATTCAGATCCCTTGACTCTAAGAAATTAAGGCATATGGTTATGTTGGTGTTGGGTGTTATACTCTCCTTTAGAAGCACAGGCCAAGGTTTTGGTGTGTTATTAATAGAATCACAGTGTAAGCCTCACCTGCCATCAGCTTCATACAACATTCCTCTTAACCTTTCAACTCTCATACTGTCTGAAAACTTATATTTCAATGCTTCTATACATTCCTACAATAATACAATTAGTTTGCATTTTAGATGTACTTGCCATGGGTTTGAATTCCAAACAAAACAAATCTGTGCCTGCAAAAACTGTTTTACCTTTGAACCATAGTCTACACTATCAAAACCCTCTTTTAGTATTTATTCTGAAGAAGACAGGGTTTGGGTTGTCTAACTGCAGAAATCTCAAAGTGAGCGAGTGTCTCAACTGTCTCAAAAGTCAGAAATAAAATAGAATAAAAGGTCCAACACACCTCAGCTAAATCTAAACGCTGACAGTCTAGAGCAGCTATACACACTTGTTCATACACTAACCACACTGAAAAAAAGAAAAATCTTCAGCAAAAAATATTCATGATCAAGTGAATGCCAACATGCAAATAAATATTGGGTGATCCATTGCTAAATTAAGTCTTCATAACTTACATTCATCACCAAGTTTATGTGACTGGTGAATGACAAAACCTTCCCATAATTTGACTACCATATCACCATCTCTGACTTGTTCTTCTCGCATCTTCTTCAGAATAGTACGAGCCTCTACAAATTTAATGGGGATACAGTAAGAATATTAGAAAACAGAAACAATTGAAGGCTCCGTCATTCATTAATTATCTACATAGATTCAACTGAAATTAACCACCGGTTTGGCAGTCGTGCATGATTTGTATGCAAATTACAGACACCGTTCTTTTGCAACGCACATTGCCCACTGTTAATATGGATCTACTGGTTCGATGTCCACGAAATGTTCTAGTCTTGTAGAAAAGTGGTTCAAAAATTAATTTCAATGACAATTGAAAATAATTAATCAGCAAAAAGTGGTGAATTTAATAATTATTATTGATTTTACCGTCAAAATTAATTTGGGTCGCCATTTTGCCGGAAGTCTCGTTTAACACGAGATAAAACGAAAGATGAACGAGACTTCTTTAGCGCAGTCGCATTGTTGACGTTTCCATGGTATTGTAAACAATTTTCTAATGAAATAAACAGGGATTCGACGATAGTTCAACAATCGTCTCCAAAGCCTGCCAAAATGATCCCACCAAATGCTTCTCTCGTCAAATATGATAACCCCGTCCTGGTCAGCAGAAATACTGATAAGAAAACTCCAAGGGTAAGTTACTTTTTGTTATTTTAGTCCGATAACAAACTTAGCATTCTTGATTTTTCCCCCATTTTATTTCTATTCATTTATTGCAACGGCATGTCCATGACTTCACCGCCCTCTAACCAGTTGCCTGTCACACGACCAAACACACGACAGAGTTACCCTAGAGGCCTATTATCTAATTTAGTTGTATGTTTTTCAGGCTAGAGCATTAAAAGTTTCACCAACAACACCACCTGGAACAGGACCAGTCCCAAATCCTCCAGCCAAGTCCAAAGTTAGTGGTCTTGATGCCAAATCAGCTCAACAGACTGATGAAATTCTTAACTCCATCCTACCACCAAGGTAAACAAGTTTAAAAAGATTAATATTTTTTTGAAACCTAATCACGCTATATATACCCTGGGCCTGAGCAGACGGTACAGCAGTCGTAACCAAGTGACATCACACAAGTTAACGCAAGGACGCTTGAGTATTCAAAGAGATAGTTACTAAGTGTTCCCGCTTAAATCTGTGTTTATTGACCGAGAAAAAACTAGCATAAATTATTACCGATATTTTATTATTCCAGAGAATGGACTGAGAATGGTCAATTATGGGTTCAACAAGTTTCCAGTACCCCTGCCACCAGACTAGATGTTGTTAATTTACAGGAGGAATTAGATCGTAGACTTCAACAACGCCAAGCTAGAGAGACCGGAATCTGTCCAGTTAGACGTGAATTGTATTCACAATGTTTTGGTAGGTACAAAAAACAGATCTGAAATTTTTACCATACACTTTTTCCTACTGTCTTTGCTTCTCCATCAGTTTCGAAATGGCATTGACAGCCCGATATAATGACATTTTTGATTGAAATTTCTTCAAGGGAAGTGTATTCATTCAATTTTAACATATATTTTGATCAGTGCAAAGCCATTTCTATGACTTGCGAGAAAAACAACCATGACTTAACAAATAGCTAACTCTGTTAATTTCTGTTTATAGATGAACTTATTCGTCAAGTTACAATCAACTGTGCTGAAAGAGGTTTATTACTATTACGAGTACGTGATGAAATCAGGATGACAATCGCAGCCTATCAAACACTCTATGAATCTAGTGTAGCCTTCGGTATGAGAAAAGCACTTCAAGCTGAACAAGGCAAGGCTGATATGGAAAAGAGGGTAAGCTTTAGTCTAGTGCTGTCTATATTTTTACTGCTCCCAATTTATCCCGCTCCAGCACTGGGATTTTGTAAGAGTGACGAAATTTGAGGTCATCAGGTTAGGTCAAAAGGTTATTGGGATAAATGTTCAAGAGGGCTGGTGTTAGACCCTAACTGAAGTGGCTACATGAGAAGAAAAGAAAAATTAGACTGAGTCTTGAATTTTTTTACAGATCAGTGACTTAGAAGATGATAAACGTAAACTAGAGAAAGATGTGAACGAATTGAAAGCTAAGTGTGAACAGATCGAAAATCGTGCTAAAGAACAGAGACAGGTCGAAGAGAAAAAACACACAGAAGAAATTCAGTTTTTAAAACGAACCAATCAACAATTGAAGGTGGGTGATTGATTTAAGAAATACAATAATCTGATTGGATAATAAACCTAAATTTAAAATCAATTTTAGTGATTGACCAATCAGATGACTTGAACACTTAAGTCATCTTAAGTTAAGTTTTTTCTGGTCCATCCTGCTTATCCACAAAGTAAAAAAATATAACCTTTACTACACATTGCTTACTAATTCTATCCCATAATATCCCACATTATTATATCACTATATTGTACATCTTCCTAATTTGCCAAACATTTTTTCCCTTTTGATGCTTATCAGATGATGGAGGTGAATCTTCACAAAGTAATATTCGTCTCGCATGAATTTTCTGCCAGCTTTTTGCATATCACTTTTTCACAGATGGCATCAAGCTTATTAAGCTCTCACAGTATTCCAAATGGCACGTTGCAAAAACAGCACTTTCAACAAGAAACACTTTCAAAAATCTGCCACTTCTGAAAATGCCACATTCCCAAAAATCAGCTCTTTTGTTGTTTGCTAGAGCTACAGCCTACCTTGAAGAAACGATGATTCAAGATATTTTGTGGAGATTTTAATCTGCCTTCATTAGCCTACAAGGTGCAGAAAAATAGGATGTAAAACTCCATTCATTTCATTGAATTTAATATGATCTTCTCTTCTCTTTTCAGACCCAACTGGAAGGCATCATTGCACCCAAGAAGTAAAAAATGAAAATCTAAGAACTATAGACAGAAGTGTTCTATTCCATGTCCTAACTGAGGGTTAAAATAATTTAATATCAGGAGGGGTTGGGTTGGATTTTCATTCTCTATTTTCTGGGGCAGTCACAGCCAGCACATATTGAGTAATTCTGAATCACAAGCACGATTCACATTGTCATCCATCAAATATCAATTCTTTGGATCTTAAATTTTTATTAAGCCTAGCAACATTTTGTATAAGAGGGATTGCCTTGTACCAACAAATTTTGTTTGTGCAAAAGTGCATTGTCTTAGTGAATAATAAGTTGAATTATGCTTGTATTATATTTATCAGTAAATTGTATAGTTAGGAAATAGATTGTAAATATTTTCAATTTTTTTTTAGTGGCCACCATATTAGGATTATTTTATTGATAAGATTACACAAATCAGCATCCTAATGAAGTATTTTCAAAAGGCAGAATTTAAGCATTAATAACTAAGGAATTCGTTTTGAAAAACCAAATGAATCTTGAAATCTTCCATCGTTGTCAAGCATTATAGTTTCCCTGAGTAGTTTTAGTTTGAAAATTTAAAGATATAAGATTCTTCCTTAAGTTTTTATCATTAAAGTATTTTTAGTTTTATGAAGCTCTTACCTTAGAAATGAAGTTTTATTCTGCAACGTCTTCATTGACATATTTATTGTTCAAAAAATCCAGTTGCCATCGGCCAAATTCTGTCCAATTTCACATAGGCTTACATTAGATTATGAAACAAGCTGGATCTGTCTATAACATAAAATAAGATGAGTATTTAACCAATGGGGAAAATCTGGAATAGAAATAAATGTAAACTTCTTAAGTTATTAATAATCAAACTCTTATTTAATGTATAAAATAAAATATTTATTCTTTTTAAAAATGTTTTTATGTCTTCGCAATGATCAAGAGTTGTAGAGCAATGGCAATTGCTCATAATCAGTGTCCAATGTCTTGAATCCTGGGCCATTGCTTGCAAAAGGAGGGTGTCCAAGGGCTTGAATCATAGAGCAATGCTGGCTCAAATCCACTACCCTGGGGCTTGTATTAACTGATTGATAATTGAAGCTGGATGCTCTATCACTTTCAGTTTGCGCTTTTTGAGTTGTGCCTGAGAAATTTTTACACATTTCAGATAAGAAAAAAGGCATTCAAGTTGTCAATAGACACTACTTGCCCCCAATTAGCAAAGCAGAAGAATCGTTGACTATTTTCAAAGCGTTGATGTACTGGACGGACATAAAAGGGGGTCGATCACTATGGAGATATCATAATGGCGTATCGCCACTACATATTGGCCGATCTCCTAGTTACTGTGTCATTGAGACGCGTGAAACTTTTTTTCCTGCTTCCTAAAAGACTTCTCTTTATGTCACATTCACTTCACACCGCTGACAATTCATTAAATTCAATACTTGTAGAAATTCAAAGTTAGTAGTGAACAAAACTATTAACCGGAAACACGCATGGAGGGTTATTCAAGCCTTCGACGTTAAAGAGTTAGACTACAGACAACAGTTAAATCTCTACTATAGACTATACAAAACACGGGTTGGTTAAATATGACTTATTGCCGTCTGTTTGATGGTCGCAATAGACATGGCTATTTAGAGAAACATTTTAGCCTATCAAAGAAGCACAAAATATCTGATTCTGACATTGAAATTTCAGCAGCGGCTGCAGTACTTTAGATTGGGAGGGATCATCGCCATCCAATCCATTGTAGGGTTGTGGAGATTAAAAATAAAGGAATTAAATCCTGCATTCTATTTAATTAGATGTTAATACATTTCTCTAACAAAAAATGCATGTTTTAACATGAAAAAAATTGTAATTTTAGGCCTTTAGCGATGGGAGAGGTGAGCGGGGTGAGGGAGGGTGATTGACAATTCTCCCATGTTATTATGCACAAAAAAAGTATCCCAAACCTAATTTAATAAGCCTATTATTATTATTTGAAGGGGGGGGGGGGGGGGTGTTGGGCTAAATAGTTCCAACCCTAAGTTCTTAAAAGGGCCTATTTTAATAAGCCTGTTATGGATATTATGCATATTTCCATCAAAACATTCTAATTTTTGGCCTTGGGGGAGAGGGGGTGGGGGGCATTCCGCGCTCCCTGTTTTTATAACCAAAATAATTTTCCCATCCCTAAGTTCTGAATAGGGCACAAGAAAATAGGCTTAATTGTATAAGCCTAGAACCATCTAGACTCTTGCCGAAAGACACGGGCTACTGACAGAATCCCTTCCTTTCCCAATTACGCTGACCTATTTTCAGTGATTTCTAGCTTTAACGATGCACATGCATATCTTATTATCAATATAATGGCAGGAAAACGCCCTTTACTGTGTTTAGTTTGGCTGATTTGAATTTTTGTCGAAATTTTAGCCTATTATGATAGAGCGCACTGTTTCGGTCTACTCCATAGCCACACCCCTTTTTTGAGTCGTGTGCATGCCGTCTGCTCCTTTTACAGGGACCCCTTATTTTTATACGAGGTTGGTACTAAAAATTTACTTCTATTGCTTTATTTTCCACACAAAAATAGATTTTAATGATGAAAACGGCAATAAAATAATATTTCTGGTCGGTCCATTCCAAAAATTTCATATTTCTAGTGAGTAAAGCTTTATTATTAAGCCTACAACAATTACTAGTCCACCTTTAAACTTGCAAAGAGCCTAGATCGAAAACGAGGCGACGGCAGCAGACGTCGAGAAAATTCAGATGACGGCCGAAAATTGAAGCAGCAAAGACGTGTTGAAGGTGTTTCCTTCGAAAAGAGAATTCTGGAGCGCTTTTGACAGGTATTTTATGAACATTTTAACTTATTTGACCTCACAATACACGCGCAATATGAATTGAACGGTTTTTGAGAAAATTTGACGCCAAATTTGCCTGAATAGGCCTACGGCATCCCCCCCCCCCCCCCTTCCCTCCCGTCCACCGCACCGATGAAATATTTGTCTATTCAACTCTCTCCCAGTCCCAAAATCACTTATGTAGTCATTATGCCATGCATTACGCACGGTATCTAGGCCATATGCTTGCTTGGAAAGCCAGCCCCCCCCCCCCCCCCCCCAAACCCATCACAAATATTTTGTCTTTTCTCCCTCCTAATCCAGTCTGTAATCTTAAAGGAAGTCCCATTGCAGGACATTTTGCCCTAAAAATACTGGAGGAGAATTAATTGAATGATTTCCTAAGAAATTTTAACGGTAATTTTGCCTGAACAGCAGGTCCCTTTCCTACCTATAACATATTGTTTTCATTGTTTGCCCTCTTAAAAATGCTTTGTTTTGAGAGGGCAAAAGTGAAAATCAAATAGTTATTTGGTGGAAAGAAGGCCTGCTGTTCATACAAAATTTACTTCAAATTTCCCCAAGAAATCGTTCAATTTATTTTCTACTTGTGTTTTGCGGGAAAAATGTGCGGGAAAAATGTGCTGCAATGGGACTTTATCAGAGATCACACTGTGGACAAGGGATGAAATCGAAAATTGTGCCGTGGAGGGAGAGAGAGAGGGGGGAGGGGAGGGGGGTGCTAATTATCTTAATGGAAAGGGAGATTAAGTTGTAATATTTCGGAAAAATGACAATTCTCTTTGATCTTATTTCAGCGGGAACCAAGTGTCAAGTATTGCGCAGTTTAGATTATTTGTAAACAGAATATTTAAAGGTCGTCATTCGAATAATGAACATCAGATAAATGTGAGTATTTCGCTTCTTTATCATTGGAACAATTTGTGATTAAAGTTTATTCTTAAATTAAAAGAAAAATTGGACTTTAAATATGAAAATTTTGGCCCCCAACCATTGCCCAGACATTGTCAGCCACAATCTAAAAAACTCCATGAAACGTATCTTTAAATATTAAAATCATAGCCAGACATTAGTTGATGGATCGTTGACAGCTTTTTCCTCCAGAAATATTAAACAAAATTTGGCAGCACGGACTCAGACGTCAGGGCACGTGTTTGGTAAAAGACAGCAGATGATTGGCCCAAACTTGGCTGTCAATCTAAAAGTGGGCGGAGTAACGCGCACCGTTATCATTTGCATACATGAATCTGCAATTTTTAGCGGGCTTTTCATTAACTCGGCGGCATTTCTTTGAATAAGGAATATTTATTGGATTCTTTTGTGATATTTTGTAGGATTATTGAGTTCAAAGGATTAGATTTCAAGATTCAAAGGAAATGAACTGGATTTCAATTCATATGGTAAGTAGCCTACTAAATTTTATCAAATTCATGATCGAAAAATCAATCAGCAATGCCTGGCCATAATTGAGAGAGCGCAGTCAGACCCCCCTCCCCTCTTTTCATTTTTGTAGAAAAGCCACCCCCCTTTCCCTCAAGCCCTCTAAATGCTTAGTCCTTCTGAAATCTGTTGTGAATAGCCACCCCCCTTCTGTCTTTCCTCTCCCAATTAAATTGCATCGACTTTATTTCATGCGGTAAGTGGCCCTCCTGCCTTCTACTCATTCATTGCATATTATATTGCCCTTTATTAAGCGGTAGGTGTGATAAGCCCCCCCCCCCCCATCATACATTCCACATGGCAAGTTCTCGTGCGGTGGGTGTGATTAACCCCCCTTTCCCCCTGTAATTGCATATCTGGCTTTCTCATGCGGTGGGTGTGATTAGCCTTCCCACCATGCATAAAGCCCCTTCTCATGCGGTGGGTGTAAGTAGCCATCATATCCCTCATTCATTGCATATAGCCCTTCCCATGCGATGGGTGTGATTAGCCCTCATGCCCCTCCTCATTCATACAGCACCTCTCATGCAGTGGGTGTGCCACATTAGCCCCCAATCCCCACATTCATTGCATATAGCCTCTTCTCATGCGATGGGTGTGATTAACCCTCATGCCCTCATTTATACAGCCCTCTCATGCGGTGGGTGTGAATAGCCCACTTGCCCTCTCATTGCATCTCCTACGTGCATAAAGCAAGCTGTGGTTATTGAAAGGGGAGATGGATGGTTAAAACTGTTCCTAAATAGCAAAATTTTTAAAGAGTTTTACTTTCATTTGCAGATTGATATTCAACCATCAACCATTGCCTAGAGTTGCCACCGTGAAGTAAAAGATCAATAGACCAGCACACTTGGTGAGTTTGAATTTGATGTTAGGTTATGTCTTTGACTAGTGAGATGTCCCCTCCTCTCTCTTAGCAAGCCCTGCCACACCCTTCCACACCCTATTGTGTTCTCCATCACCTACAGAGATGCACCAACCCTATCACCAACCTCTTTTACCCCTTACCATAGGCAATGAGATTAGACTATCAATAATTTAGAGCAACCCCCCTTACCCTGGTCTCCACCCCCTGCATAGATGCACCCTGGAACTCGGGTCCCTTCCCCCATTCCCTACAGAGATGCACAATCAATTTACAAAGCAATCATTTTTTGTTTGTAGATATTTGAAGCCCGTTCAGTGTGAAGCCAGCTTTAGTTTAGATTTTCTGTTTGCATCAACATACATGGTGAGTTTGAATTTTCTTTTTCAATACGTAGGGTTAAAATTTGGAGTCCATAGCCAGTTCTTATTGGCATGCAGAGCTTGAATACAACTAGAGAAGATCCAGATGTGTTTCACTAAATCTTGAGACAGACTAAGGGGAGACAATCCAATTTAATGAAAGAATTGAGTGCACCAACTTCTTGCATTGACAGTTAATTGCCCAGGTAGAAGGGGGAAGGGTGTCCTGGGGGTTGTTGTATTCCACAGTCCCCTTGACCTTGTAGAGGTGAGGGGGGAGGAGAAGGGGTACTATTCTATGGTTCTATAGTTAAGTTTTAACAGTTTTTAACATTGGTTTTTAGGTATCAAGTGATCATCTTAAGCTCATAGAACATCAGTCATAGATCTTCAA